AATCACGTTACACCTGCTTCCTAAAAACCTCCAAAGGTGTCCCGTGACATGGAGAATCAAATCTGAACTCCCCACTGAGGTTCTTCAGGCCTCCTGAGACCTTGCCTGCCTGCCTCTGATATCGCCTTGTGCCACATTGCATCACTTACCAAACCCCAGCCCTGTTGTCCTTCTCCAAGCCCACTCACATCTCAGAGTCTGTGATTTCTTTCCTTTCTACCTGGACATCCTTCCTTAGATTTTCACCTGACTGGCTCCTTCTTGGCATCCAGGTCTTGGCTCAAAGGACTACCTCTCCTCAGAGAGGTCTTCCCTGACCACTCCATCTAAAGGAGGTCCCCTTAGTGCTTTAGTCAGCTTTATTTCCATAAGCTCACTCCTCCCTAGCTGAAATTATCTGGTTTAATTTTAACGTGCTTACGGTTGGTTTCTTCCAACCAGAATACTGATCCTTTGTCCATCCTAAAGTTATATTCTTTTGTTTACTTACTTTCTGTTTATCTCCCCTACCTGAATTCCAGCTCTAGGGAGGGAGGACCTTGTCTGGTTTAGAGGTCTATCTCACTAGCTCTCAGCACAGTGCCAGGCACACAGTAGATGGATTAATAGGTATGTGTTGAATGAATAGTTGAATGAATGAACTCAAAGTGTGCTCACAGGCTGAAGTCAGCATGGGGAGAAAAGCGAATTGCCATGGCATGCTAATTGCCATGAACAGGAATATAGAATGTGGAGGAGGAGAGCGAGTCTGCTCAGATCGGATCACACCTGGGTCACTGCCCTCGATCCCGGTTGCTGCACTGCCCTATGAACCAGTAGTGTGGGCAGGAAACTGACCAAACTGAACAAACTGGCACATGAAGGGAAGCTCAGAGAAGCAAAGATGCTCAGCTTATACAGACCAGAAATCCTAGGAATGATGCTGTTACCATCTTTCAATAACTAAAAGGGCTACTGAGAGGAAGGGGGGATAGGTTTGGTTTGGAGCCCTAAGGGCAGAATACAGGTCAATAGGTTTGATAGAGACAGATTTCGGCACTAAAAGAAAATGATTTTTTGACAGTCAGGACTCATAGCAAGGGAAGGAGCTACCTTAGAAAGCAGGGAGCTTCTCATTTAAGAAAGTGTACGAGTGGATAACTATTTAGCAAGGATGTCAAGGAAGGGATTCAAGCAACAGAAAGCAGACTCCAAGTTCTCTTTCAAACTTGAGATGTCTGGGTTTCCATGATAAATGGGGACAAAATTTAAAAAAAATCTGGCCAATAAGAGTTCTAGAACTTACTTGTCTAGCTGCCTTGATAGCAATTAACATTACCAAAACCCAAACTGGGTTTACAAATGAAACACTAGACAGATAATCTGAGAGGCTGAGAGGTTATCTTGTGGGCCTGAAGCCATCTGACAAATATGTTGGACCGCTCCCTGGATATGAACTCTGTTAGCTATGTTTGCTCACCCAGAACATGAGACGCCAAATATTTTGACTTTCCAAAAAGATGTCTCAGTTCCTAGGGGGAGGGAGCCAACACCACTACATAGTGGCTTAAGATGGTCCTAGGTTTGTTTTCTGAAACTCCACCACTTCCTAACTGCAGGACCTCAGGCCAAGAAATGAAGCCTTCCAAACCAGTTATTTCATCTGTAAAGAGGATTTGATTGAAAAATAGGGGAGGAAGAACTGAAACAAGAATGGACCAAAGTTAATAATTAATGAAGATGATTGACAGAAATTCACTACACCATTCTCTTTTACATGTTTGAACATTTGCATAACAAAAAATAAAAAGAAGGGGAGTTTAAAATAGTCCCCAGTTCATGTGATAATTGTAGGGCTTAAAGAAATCACCATCATCATTATAAGGAATTTTTACAAATCCTGGTTATTACCGGGAATGTTTAAATATCCCATTTAATCATCCCAACAACCCCATGAAATGCATAGTAATCATCTCCACTTGGCAGATGAGGAAACTGAAACTCACATAAATTAAAAAAATCCCGCAGCTGGCACAGCGCTGAAATGAGATCTGAAACCAGAGCTCTCTGACTCCACCATCGCAGCTGCCTTTGTTTCAAGAATAGCTCGTTGTGTTCTACCTGGTTGATATCTGCACAATTATGATATCGTTTATTCCTCCAAGGCAATGGTTTCCTAGCTCTTTTCTCATAGCACAACTTTTTTTCCAGTGCAGCCTTTACTTTACTTTTGAACTCCAGTAAGCAAAAGCCATAAAAGCTGAACGGTTCTGGCTGAGGTTGGGATTGGGACCCAGAAATCAGGCCACTCAAGTCGAAGGTGGTCTCCAAAGTACTCTAGCATCTATCAGCAGCATGTGAAAACCCCAGATGGAAGGCAACAAAAACAACCCAAATCCCCAAGCCCTGAGAACCGCATTTAGGGACAGCCTCACTGGGATAATGCAGCTGATCATTTCCTGTCCCCATCACATTTGATCCTCATTATCAACTCGATGTGGACAGGGCAGGGCATATAACCCTCAATTTGCAGATGAGAAAATCAAGGCCAAACAGACCAGCCAAAGGTTTGCCAGGTTCACTTTCCAGCCAAGTGCAGACTGGAAGTAGAGTCTGTCTCCACTAACTCCGTGAGTCCTGGCAGAGAGGGTGCCAGCTTCTGGAAACTGCCACTGACCCTTGGTTCACAAAGTGGACAATCAGCTCTTTGGCCATTGAGAGCTGAGCACAGCCCCACAGGCTCTCTGCCCAGTCCTTGTCCCAGAGCAGATGGCAGTGGGTAGGGGAGAGGGCCTCAGTGCTGCCGGAGGGCCAAAGAGCAGGAATCTGACTGTAGACAAGGCCATTCCCATCCCAGCCATGTCCTGCTGAGCAGGGGCAGAGGAGGCAACAACAGGCAAAGTGCCTTCTACCCTGGTGTGTAGCAAGTGAATGAGCCCCCAGAGGGCCAGACTTCAGGGAGTGTGAATTGGGAAGCAGCTACACTTTGCCTTTCCTAGCTCTTGGGTAGAAATCCCTGAAGCCAGACACAGTTGGTAATTGCCTGAAGGGTTCCCCCACTTCAGAGCATCTCTGAGCTGAGCTGGAGCATGTGTTGGAACAGGCAACACTTAATTATCACTTAGTCTTTAATGACCACTTAATTCTTAACACTTAATCCATCTGTAAAATGGGGACATGAATACCTGCCTCACAGGGACTCTGGGAGGCATTAATTAATGTTTGCAGCCCACTTTGAAGATGCAAAGCAGTGAACAAGTGCTCAACAGTGACATGAACAACTTGGTGGATTTACTTGCTTTCCTAATGAGGTCCTTTCTTCCTCTCTGCTCCTCCTTCTCCTTTCTAATATATCCATCCCCAACAATATCTGCCCAACTTTGCCCTGGTGGAGAAACATTTAGCTCTGTGTTTCCCAGATACAGGATTTCCCATCCAGGAAACGGGCTATTTACAGCCATCTTCCTGCACTTTAATTTTCTATTATGTCCTCTGAATATGTCAATGCCTTCCCAGTAAATATTTTGATGTGCGCTCTTGCAGCGGCTTCTGTGAAGGCTGAATGGGACAGCTGCTCCCTGTATTAGGGAATTCCAGATGTGGTTTAAAACCACCAAATTCATCTGTGCCAGTGCCTAGCTTTACAGGGGAGAAGCACATTCTAGTTGCCCCTGGAGAAAGCCACAGACATCTAACCTTCACCCTGGCTAGGGTGGTTTTTCAAGGTCTTCAGATCTACCTTGGTGTTGCCTATGCCTTTGCACAAGAAATGTTCCCTTAGTGGGCTGGTACAGCAGCAGAAATACAGTCCTGTTCTGGCCCTTCACCCAGGTAACTTCAGGACCCCAATCATTTTGTTCCTGTAAAGACTGTCACAGGGCCATGGTGGGTGGTGGAAAACACACAGCCTTTAGAGTTTAGCCAGGCAGAACAACAGGTTAAAACACACACCCCGGACCTGAAAGTCAGACCTCACCTCCTCCCTCCTCCCTTGCGTGAAGTAAGGGTACACTCACTCTTCTTGAAAGCTGAGCCTGTTGTCTCTTGGAGTGCCAGCCGCGGGGGCAGAGAGCTGCTCCTTGGAGGTCCTGGGCTGCAGGGCCTCTGACAGGCCCTGAACTCTCTTCCAGATTTCATGGCAAGTCTTGTCTAAGCTGTCCTGGGGTGTGTCCTGGTGGATCCAGATGTATCTGGGGAACGGGCCCAGGGCGGAGGGGCGCTTGGTCCCCAGGGCCGAGGACGAAGCCAGCCCATTGCCACTGGCCATCCTCTTCCTCTCTTTCCGGAAGCCTTTTTGTCCACCCAGGGCTCGAAGACAGGGTGACCATCCACCACCACCCCTCATTCACCAGAAAGGGCAGTGAGGACGGGGAGGAAGGAGGTCAGTTTTGTCCCGCCGCTGGTCCAGAAAGGTGACTGTGTTCAGAGGCCCTGGGTTTGCGTTTGAAAGGTGAATGGAGGACAGCTTTCTTGCGGGGAGGGGGAGCTTGTTTTGATCCGTTTTTAGTTGCTCTTTCCTGACTTTTGCCCCCCTCCCCCTTTCCCGTAGAAGAAAATATTTAAAAGTCAACAAAAACCAGTAGCTTAGTAACCGTGGAATCCCCCTGAGCTCAGGAACCAGGCGCCTGGGCAGGCAGAATGACATCTGGGCACAGCTGGAGGGGAGGGCTGGCTCTCCCCGCAGTCCCTGGGCCTCACCCGTCGCCACACGACCCCAGTCTCAGTCCATCAGCGCACGCTAAGCCTGGGGGGTGCGGGGCTGAGGGCCTGGCACCGTGCGAGGCACCGGGGGCTGGGAGCCCACCATCGGGATCTCCCGGGGTCTTCCCAGGGCCGCCGCCCTGCTGAGCCCCGCTCTGCTCGCCCCACCGGCCCCCCTGGTCTCCCTCTCCCGGCCGCTCAGCCGCCGGCCCGCAGAAACAGTCCCCGAGTGCCCAGCGCCCGCCCGCTGTCCCCAGCGGACACCAGCCACGACCCCGCTCCCCGCCTCGCCGGGCTTTGAGATCCTCGGGGAAGGGTCCCTAAAGCCTCAAACGGGCGCTGTCTCCGCGGGGCGGCTGTGCCAAATTGCCTGCCTGCCTGTGGACCCCTCCCGTCCAGCGCTGGAATTCCTTGGTGGGTTTCAAACGCAACGGCTCGGTGCGCGGGACGCCCAGAGTTCGGTCGGCACCCCAGGTCCTCCGGTGGGGCGGGGGCGGGGCCCGGCGGACCCCACGGCGCTCGCCCCCGTTAGAAGTGCAGGGCATCGCGCCCCGCCTGGCCCGCCGCTCCTCCGCACCCACCTGGGCGTGCCTGCTCCTGCCCCTGAGTCGCCCATTTCACCCCTCACTGCCATTTGATCGGGGCCTACCATGGGCCCGGCGCTGGGCTTTTTCTGTGTCCCATTCACTCCCGACAACCTCAGGAAGTTAGTACCATTATGTCCTCTCCTTCTACACTTGAGGAAACCGGGCCTCAAAGGAGTGTATCCAAGGCCCACCCGGAAGCGGGAAACTGGGGTTCAAACCAGGCACCCCAGGCTACTGAGAAAGACTGGTTCCCCTAGTGCTGGGCTCAGTGGTCCCCGGGGTGGGCGGAGGTGCAGAGAGGAGCCAAGCTGTCTGCGGCTCAATGGGCTCCTTCCCTCACTGGAGGAGCTTCTTTAAGCAACAGGGCTCTCTGGCCCCAGGAGTCTATAGTTGTTCCTCTAGTGTTTCCCCAGTAAAGGATGATCTGCTGCTGCTGAGTCGCCTAAGTCGTGTCCGACTCTGTGCGACCCCATAGACAGCAGTCCACCAGGCTCCTCTGTCCCTGGGATTTTCCAGGCAAGAGTCCTCAAAAGAAGAAAGAGGCATGGGCTTGAATTGAGATGGCAGCCAAAAAGGTATATATACAGTTGAATCCTGAAACTGCTCCTTCCTAGCTGTGTGACCTTAACAACTTTCTTCACTTCTCCCCTCCTTCATTCATTCCCCAGCTATAACTGGAGCCTTTCTCTCTGCTGGTGAGTTGCTGGACACTGGGGAAGGATGAAGGTGAAAATACCCGCACGTTCCTTGCTTTCATGAAGCCTGTATTCTAGTGGAGGGAGACAGATCACCAACTAGCAGAGCAAGTAAATAAGTAATAATTATAGATGAAATAAGGACTCTGATGGAAACTAGCCAACAAAGTGAGGCACTGGGGAGAAGAGGCGAGGCAGCATGAGATGACAGTCCAGGCAGGCCTCTTCGCATAGGTAAGGTGACATTGGAGATGAAATAGAAGGATGGAGAAAGGGCCCTTTTTTTGTAAAATGGTGTTACAAAATTATTAGGAAGATCACATTTCTGCTACACAGTGGGTACTTCATAAATATGTGTTGGATGAAGTTATGGCATACTATATGAAGTGCCTGGCATACAGTAGGTGCCCAATACACAGTCTTGCTCTTTACAGAGGACCTGAGTTCCTGGAAATATTGACTCTAAATTTTGAAATCCAAGCTTGATTCCCCTTTGATTTTCATTATAAAATTGAAGATGTGCTCCTTTGGGGAAAATTCCGAGGACCTAGACTGAATAAAATTATAGTTAAGAATGTAGAAAACCTTTTAAGACAGTGTATTTAAAGGAAAAGTGATCATTTCTGATGAAATATTAATAGTTCTGAAAATGTCATTCAGTGTTTGTGCTGCTTGGCATTTGGTTGGCTAACACCTATGCTTAGAGCAGAACACTGTCAACCCTGCACCGCCCAGGCTGCAGGATTCTGGAAAGTTAGCCAGCTCACTCATTCCTTCTGTTCTCTCTCCCTTTCAGCAGGAGACCAGGCAACAGGGGCCAAGGATTGGAAAAAAATTGCAAAAAAAAAATGCAATACAACAGGGATAGGTAACAAAGATAGGGGTTTGTTTCTTGAAATACACAGCTGAGGTGCCTAGAAGAGTGCAAAAAACTTAAGTAGCAAACAGCATGGAGGTTTCTCAAAAAACTAAAAAATGGAACTACCATATGACTGAACAATTCCATTCCTGGGTATACATCCAAAAAAATACCCAAAACACTAATTCAAGAAGATACGTGTACCCTCAATGTTCATAGCAGCATTATTTATGATTGCCAAGGTATGAAGGCACCTAAATATCCATTAACAGATGAATGGATAAAGATTTGAGACACATACACAACATACACATATCTACAATGGAGTACTCAGCCATAAAAAAAGAATGAAATCTTGCCACCTGCAGCAGGCATTATGCTAAGTGAAATAAGTCAGAAAGAGAAAGAAAAATACTGTATGATAGCACTTACATTTGGAATCTAAAAAATACAAATACAACAAACTAGTAAGAAAAAAGAAGCAGATTCAGAGATATAGAGAACAAACTAGTTGTTTCTAGTGAGGAGAGGCAAGCCAGGAAGTGCCATAAAGGAGTAGGTGATTAAGAGATACAAACTGGTAGGTATAAAATAAGCTACCGGTATATATTATACAACATAGGGAATAGAACAAACATTTTATACTAACTACAAGTGGAGTATTTAAAGAGATGGGAATACCAGACCATCTTACCTGTCTCCTGAGAAACTTGTATGAAGCTCAAGAAGCAAGAGTCAGAACCCTGTACAGAATAGGATTGAGAAAGGAGTACAGCAAGGCTGTTGTGACTCTGTTTATTTAACTTATATGCTGAGCACATCATGAGAAATAAATGCCGGGCTGGATGAGTTACAAGCTGGAATCAAGATTGGTGGGAGAAACATCAACAACCTCAGATATGTGGATGATACCACTCTAAGGCAGAAAGTGAAGAGGAACTAAAGAACCTCTTGACGAGGGTGAAGGAGGAGAGTGAAAAAGCCAACTTAAAACTAAATATTAAAAAAACTAAGATCACAGCAGCCGGCCCCATCACTTCATGGCAAACATAAGCGGGAAATGTGGAAGCTGTGACAGATTTCCTCTTCTTGGGCTCTAAAATCACTGTAGATGGTGATTGCAGCCATGAGATAACAACTACCTCTTGGCAGGAAAGCTATGACAAACCTAGACAGTGTGTCGAAAAGCAAAGACATCACTTTGCCAACATAGGTCCGTATAGTCAAGGTTATGTTCTTCCCATTGGTCACGTACAGTTGTGAGAGCTGGACCGTAAAGAAGGCAGAGTGCTAAAGAATTGATGCCCTTGAACTGTGGTGCTGGAGGAGACTCTTGAGAGTCCCTTGGACAGTAAGGAGATCAAACCAGTCGATCTTAAAGGAAATCAACCATGAATACTCACTGGAAGAATTGATGTTGAAGCTGAAGCTCCAATATTTTGGTCACCTGATACAGAGAGCTGACTCACTGGAAAAGATCCTGATGCTGGGAAAGACTGAGGGCAGAAGGAGAAGAGGGCATCAGAGGATAAGATGGTTGGGTGGCATCACTGATGCAATGGACATGTACTTGGGCAAACTTCGGGAGATGGTGAGAAACAGGGAGGCCTGGCGTGCTGCTGTCCATGGGGTTGTGAAGAGTCAGACTAAGTGACTGAACAACAATGAATAAGAACGACAACAAATGGAGTATAAGCTTTAAAAATTATGAATCACTATATTGTACCCATGTAACTTATACAATGTTGTACATCAATTGTACTTCAATTAAAAAAAAACTTAAGTGGAATACTTAGAACCAGTGAAAATAAAGCTATGTCCAGTTTGGTAGTCACTAGCCACTTGTGGCTATTTTACTTTTGTTGTTGTTGCTCAGTCACTAAGTCGTGTCTGGCTCTTTGTGACCCTGTGGACTGCAGTGCTCTAGGCTTCCCTGTCCTCCACTTTCTCTTAGAGCTTGCTCAAACCCATGTCCATTGAGTCATTGATGCCATCCAACCACCTCATCCTCTGTCGTTTCCTTCTCCTCCTGCCCTCAGTTTTTCCCAGCATCAGGGCCTCTTCCAGTAAGTTGGCTCTTCACACCAGATGGTCAAAGTATTGGAGTTTCAGCTTCAGCATCAGTCTTTCCAGTGAATATTCAGGGTTGATTTCTCTTAGGATTGATTGGTTTGATCTCCCTGCAGTCCAAGGGACTCTCAAGAATCTTCTCCAAATTTCAGTTCCTTAGTTACACTAGCCACATTTCAAGTACCACACGTGGCTTGTGACTACCATTTTGGACAGCACAGAGAACATTTTCATTATTGAAAAACACATGGGCTCTAGAATCAGACTCAGTTCAGTCAGTTCAGTCACTCAGTCATGTCCGACTCTTTGCGACCCCATGAACCGCAGCATGCCAGGCCTCCCTGTCCATCACCAACTCTCGAAGTCCACCCAAATCCATGCCCATCGAGTTGGTGATACCATCCAACCATCTCATCCTCTGTCGTCCCCTTCTCCTGCCCTCAATCCCTCCAAGCATCAGGTTTCCAATGAGTCAGCTCTTCGCATCAGGTGACCAAAATATTGGAGTTTCAGCTTCAGCATCAGTCCTTCATGAACACCCAGGACTGATCTCCTTTAGGATGGACTGGTTGGATCTCCTTGCAGTCCAACGGACTCTCAAGAGTTCTCCAACACCACAGTTCAAAACCATCAATTCTTCTGTGCTCAGCTTTCTTTATAGTCTACTTGGATTCAAATTATGAGTTCATGTTTTCTGGCAATGTATCTGTAGGTAGATACTCTATGCCTTGGTGTACTTACTTGCTAGGGCTGCCACAACAAAGCATCACACACTTGGTGGCTTAGAAAACAGAAATTTATTTCCTCATAGTTCTGGAGGCTAGAAGTCCAAGATCAAGGTGTGGACAGAGTTGGTTCCTCCTGACGCTCTCTCATCACCTTACATACAGTTATCCTCTTCCTGTGTCTTCATATGGTCTTCCCTCTGTGTCTATGTCCTAATCTCCTCCTCTTATAGGAACACCAGTCATATTGGGTTAGGACTCACCCTAAAGACTTGATTTTACCTTATCCACTCTTTAAACTTCTTATATCCAAATAATACCTCACATTCTGAGGCTCTAGGGGTTAAGACTTCAGCGCTTGACTTTGGAGGGACACCATTCAGCTCATAACACTTGATCTCTTCATCTGTAAAATGGGATGACAATAAAGAACACCTATTTTGTAGAACTACTGTACACATTCTATTACTAAGTAATTCCTTAGCACACAGAAGTCCCTAAAACAATGCCTGGCACATAAGAGACACATAAAAGTGCTGAATATCACTTTCCTTGTAGATTACATTGAAGTGCATGCCACTGGAGTTTCTCAATAACAGCTTCTGTGCT